CGAGAAAGAAGCGGAAGGCCTGGCGTGAGAGTCGAAAGTTTGTCTGTCTCCGGAGGAGCAGCGTCCTTCAGGGGAGGTTGCGAAATGCGTTTTCCCTGCGTTTTATTTTTAGGTGGGAACAAGTACTGCCCGTACGCTGCTGCTGACTAACGAGCTTAGGGGTAGCGGCTGCGGTACCTGAAAAGTGGGTATGGGCACTTCTTCCAGCTGTGCCCCTTCGGTGCTTCTCGGGAAGCTTCGTCGTAACCTAGCTAAAAACGTGTCTGCCCCGCTGGTTCTCTGCTTTTATTCCTGGCGTCTCCCCTACCCCTGCCAGGCAGGAAGGACTTACCAATTTTATGCTGGAGATGGAAGCGCTAAGCACTTTGGAGAGCTGCAAGTGGGCATACTGCAGCTCTTGGGTGTGCAGCTGGAAACAACTCTGTTGTATAATCAGTCATCAAATAAGTGGAGAAGTACGTGGTGAATCAGCAGGAAGCTAGCTTCAGCTCACAAGCTACCAGTGACATGTTTTAATCGCATGTGAATATCCTTTCTATTAGGGATCCAATTTTATGATTTCAATACAGCTTCAGTCTTGCTCACTATCTATAGAGTTGCTAGTGGTATTTAGTGGCTTCTGTGCAACCATTATGCATTTTTCACCTGTGTAAGTTGTTTCATTTTGTTGGATTTATGTTTTGCAAAGTTACATTAAAGTTCCATATGCCACTGGCTTTACTTCCCACCCGTGAGAAGGGATTTCTTTGAAGCCTATGTTTACCCTTGTCACAGTAATCATTCCACCTATTCCATTAGCCTGACAATGTAATTTTCCTCCATTAACCTGTGAAGAGCTCGGTAGTTGGCCTTTTACTCCATGGGTGCTATGGAATGCTATGAAATGTATAAAAAGCATAGTGTTGTTATCATGGTGGCCTCTGCATGGAAGTGTGAAAGGATAGGAATAGAAGTATCTTTTTTTTTTAACTTGGTTGTTAATGTAAGGTGAGCTAAGTTTATATATGTAAAATATATATATGCAAAAGTTATAGTTACCCATAATAATGCTGATAAGCTCTGTGCTTATCAGCAACAGTGTGTGTGCATGATCTAATAACTATGCACAGTACTACTTTATTACAGTGCTTTCTCAGTATATCTGGAAGAAATTATCAAATGGTCTTCAGAAGAAAACCATCTTGTACAATCACTCTCGCATGCTTTTTGTACAGTGTATGGGAAAATATTTTTCACTTGATGCATACGGGTGATATTCTTGCAAAGTGCAAAAATGCATCCCTGTCAGTCTTGACGCACTTCAAGCTACACATGACAGAGTTTAATCTAGACCATGTTTTCTGGTATGCAAAAGCTAGGCTCCAGAGCAGCATGATTATTGACACTGCTTTGTGTGAGTAAAGCTTTGAATCAAAACTCTGTAGCTAAGATTGTTGGCGTTCAGACAGGTGACTCTTGGCAGTCCAAGATTGCATCAGATGATATGTGAAGATGTTGGTGTTCAAACCTATTGTGGTTGGGAGAAGTGAGAGCAAACTCAGAAAATACTGTTAAAAGTAGAATTATTTAGGTATGATTTAGCCTAGATAGTTTTGGCTTTCTGGATGTTGCCTGAAGAATCACTGTTAATGTTACATTAAACAAGAGTAGTTACAGACTATCATCTAGTATTTTGGGATACTTTATGCATTTTTTTGGATGAGGCAAATAATCTGTGCCCCATCACCAGCTTTCTTACCAACTGTTCTGAGCAGTTCAGAGCTCACTGGTGCAATTATGTGGGAAAGCTTGGGTGCTGAACTGGATTCTGCAAGAACTTAAGGATGAAGCGTGGGAAGTGCTACAGTTTGCCAATAGACAACAAACAGACCTGTCTGAATGGAGTTCCTGTGGCTACCAAGTGCTGTTCACTTCCTGCTATGGTGTAACTTTGATAGATCCTTAGAGGACATCTGCACGTGAACCAGCTTAGGGTATCTTGCTAATGGTGTTCTACAGAAATGTCAGAAGCATATTTGGGCACTCGATGACTTTGGCAAAACTGCTGAATATTGTTGCTAAGTTTGGCTGTTGACCAGCAGTTAGCAACTTGCAAACTGATGGTCAGTAGTTAGTTTAGTGCAATTGTGGCACACTACTCATGCCAAAGAATGGTAGTGGCATTGAAGAGATCATAAATACTAACTGAATTGCACGTCCATCTTGTCACTGGAAACAGTGTGCTGGCTCTGCAGGCAGTTGGTCAACTGCTTCAGTCCTTTAGAGGCTTAATTTATAAAAGACTGTTTTCATTATGTTTACATCTTAAAACCAGGCAGAACAGCTGTGCTTGAAAACACAGAAGCAACACCAATTATGCACTGATTTTGTAGCACTGGTTTGAAAATCCACATTTGTTCTTTGCGTCATATGTAGACATCTTACATATACAGCACCTGTTTTGTCAGTCTGTACTTGTGGTATGTCACAGACAAATACATACATCCTTTGAGCAGATATCTGTAGCGCACTTTTTACTGCTGCAAAAAATAGTTGTGTACTAGACCTTAATGGTAGTTAATTGCTGCATATAAATGGAACAGTGCTTCTATTTACCTTTTGCCTTTTGCGGTGGATGTTTTATGTGATGTAATATGGTGATAGATATGTATGCAGTACTTGATTGTGTGATGCTTGTCAGTGAAAATTTATCCTGATAACAAGTACAGGCTTTATCAGGATCAGTTTTAAGCTTGGGCAAACTAGGCAGATGCATATGGGAGCAAACTGTTCTAAGCTTGACAAAAACCATGGCCATAAAGCACACAAGAGACCCTCTGTCCATGGCTCTGTGCTTGCCCTATGCAGGGCAGCCTCTCTGAGCACCGTCTTTGTGGAGCAGCTCTCTACTGTTCTGCTTCCTACATACTCAGCCTGCTACATGACCACCTGCTCACCCCTACTGCTGCTGGAAAGATGAGCACTGCCACAAAAGTGTGGGATTTTTGCCATGCCAATAATGAGGACAAAATAAGGTTTTTATCCTCATTTTTATGAGTAATAAATTTCAATTCTCCATATACTTCTAAGACTGTAAGCGCTGACTGTGTATTACAACCCTGCCAAACCTTACGTGTTTTACATGAATATAGTGAATGGATAGACAGCGTATGCAATTGAAGGTGTTTTTTCTTAATAGATTTGTGCAGTATGGAAGAAGCCTTAATGCATATTACATACTGTGCTTCTGAGCTGGAGGCCTGTGCTCCCTCCTGGAAGTAGACTTTCACCAACATCCAGTGTATTGCGTACATACAGACATTTAAAAAACAAAGTTTGAGGAGCTAGGAAACTTTAAATTTGTAGACTTTCCAGACTTGATAGGTTTATTTGAGTAATATTAAAAGAAAAGACTTTCTGACCCAAAATTCTATATATTTGATTTTGAAAAGCTTTCATATTGGTTTACTTTCATTATTATCAGATTAAATGCAAATAACTTGTGAGTAGCTTCCCCCTTTAAATCTGCAGCTTTAAAAATAAAAGGCAGTTTGTGGCTTATGAGCTTTACTGAACTGATTTCAGTGCATGCTTGAAAAATTTTACTCAAAATCTCCTAATTCCATGCATTGCTATACAGATAGGCCTAAGATCTGGCCGTAGAGCCACTGAGTCTCTTTGCAGATGTAGCGGCTTGCTTTTGTGCAACTCATGGCTGCTGTGGGCCCTCTGTTTATGGAAAGTCATTTTCTAGGCAGCAAACATTAACTTTGTCTCAAATTCTTCTCCCCGCAGGAAGCTGCACAAGCCTTGATTTATGCTGGGATGGCAGGGTCCAACTTGGAAAATATTCAAGAAAAAATAAATGAGTACTTGGAGAGAGTTCAAGCTCTCCATTCAGCAGGTGGGTAAGGAGCTTTCTAATTAGACCTCTGCTTAAATTAATTGAGTGGAAAGCCTTTCGGTGCTGTGAAATATATATCAATGATGTTTGCTCTGTTTTTCATTATTCTAATTTTCTTGTCCTTTGTGAAGGACCACAAATACAATGAGCACAGCAGGGCTTTGAATTCTGATACATCAAAAACGAAGCGGAGACTTACTTCTGAAGAACTTGGTGTGGATGTTCTTGTCTTTTAAATATTCTTAGGAACCACATCTGCAGAGTAAACATGAGGAAGTAATTAAATATAGCAACAAAAATTGATCAGGAACAAATCAAAACTCGTATCTAAGCCTCACCTGCATGGTGGATTTGAAGCAAGTGGGTTCTGGTATTTATGTAGAATTACTAACTTTGAAAGGGCAAAAGAGCTCTTTGTTCTTATAAGAGTTTCCTTGTTTGATCCAGTTTCAGTGTTTGTGCTTAGACCAAAACCTCAAATTTTTGCATATCTGCAATTTTCAGAATCATAGAATCACTTGGCCAGAAAGGCACTGTGGGAGGTCTACAGACCAATCTCCTGCTCAAAGCAGGGTAGACATTGATTTTTGGACGAGGTTGCTGGGGTCCTGAAAACGCCTAAGGACAGAAGTTCCCTCGTTTGTCTGGGCCCCTGTTCCAAGGTGCAATTGTCTTTCTAGTGAGTTTTTTAAATTATTTTTTTAAATATTTTTCGTTGGATTCTCCCCTGTTTCAGTTCATAGTGACTGGCTCTCATTCCCTTTCTTTGTACAGTAGCAAAGAACCTGAATCCATTTTCTTGATAACCTCGCAGTTACTGGCAGGTTGTTGTTAGGTTCCCCCCAAAAGTCATCTCTCCTCGTGGCTGGACAAGCCGTGTTCCCTCAGCTTCTTCTGAAAAGGCCAAGTCCCCCAGCCCCAACCATCATTGGGGACCCAAAATTGGCTGTGGTATTCCAGATACAGTCTACCGAGTGCCAGGTAGAGGGTGGTAATTGCTTCCCTCCATCACCTGGCTGTGCTCCTGCTGACACAGCCCAGGGTGCTGTTAGCATTCATCACTGTCAGGGGCCTGCTGGCTTGGGCTTACCCAAGGACCTGGGTAAGCTGTCCCCCAGGCCCTTCTCCACAGAGCTGTACCCTGTAGGGTGTTAATCTGTCCCAGACACAGGGCATAGCACTTGTCCTGGTTGAATTTCCTGAGGTTCCTGTCTGCCTGTTACTTTAGCTTGTCTGTGTCCCTTTGAATAGCAGCTGTATCCTTGAGTGAATCAGTTTGATGGAGTCTGCAGCCTTGATGAAAGTGTGCTCCATCTTCTCCTTCAGGTCATTAATAAAGGTATTAAATGAGATAGACATCTAAAGAACTTGTATATTACCATAGGTGTTGTGTTTTCACAAATGATGCAATATTTAAATAATTAAACATCCTTGTCCTTAGTGTAGTATGAAAGAGATTTTATTCACGTTATTTGACATGTGAAATATCCGAAGAGTGTATCTGTTCTTTGGGGAGGGATGGTGGTGGTGTTTTCTTGTCCTTGCAAAGACGTTTTTAGCAAAGTTTAGAAAGATTTGATTTCCAGTCAAGAAATAGATACTACCCGTCTGATTAGAACTGCTAGTGTTTCAGTACCATGTTAAAAATGTCTTTACATATCTGCTGCCATAGAAAGCTAAATACTTTCTTTTTCATTTAGTTCAGTCACAGAAAACAGACCCTCTGAAGTCAAAACAACAGTTGGACTTGGAGCGTGCTCACTTCCTAGTTACACAGGCTTTTGATGAAGATGATAAAGGCAATGCAGAAGAAGCTGTAGAGTTGTACACAGAAGCAGTGGAACTCTGTTTGAAAACAGTATGTTAAGCTACAGGTTAACTTGGTGGAATTATGTGATGGTAAGAAATTCTTCCACTTACACAAGTGACTGACCCTTAAAGGCTGGCTTAAAAATGGAGTACCTGTATTTCTAAAAACTATTTTCTAATCTTTTTTTCCCCACTGGTTTTTTTGGTGTTTCTTCCAGTCTTTATGTTATGTTGCTATTCAATGCTGTAAATTTATGGGGACTTGTGATTTATATGTTTTTTCTGAACTAGATTATACTAAAACCTGGAAATATTCTAGAACATTTTTCAGGTATTTTTTTGCCCTGGAGCAAATGCAACTAAAACAGAAATTAAAAACGTTTAAAACTGAAAATGGCTTGCTGATGTGTCAGCTATATAACTTTCTGACTACATTAAAGGAAGTAATTTAAGGGAATTTTCTGTGTATAACACTTTCTGAGAACATAACGGTCTACTGATGCCAAAACCAGTAAAAATACTACTTGATTACTCAGTGCTCAACATTAAAGCTGTTACAAGTGAATCAAATTCACACTGAAATTAATGGTAAAGATGAATTGGCTATTATGTAAATGATGGAGAATATAATTACAGGTACTGCTTTTTTCCTTCAAGTTCAGTTGCCTTAACTAACTCATTACAGGAAGAGTTCGCCATCATAATGTAACTCCACCAAGTCTGTTTTTCTTTTTCCCTTCTTTTCCCTTTTTATAATGTAAATATTTGTGGGTTGTTGGGAGGGGAATGTTACTTCTGCTACATGCTAGAGTAAAATCTTCTTTTCTCTGAATCCCATAAACTGGTTTTATGTAGGCTGAAAAACTTCTGGTGATAAATTCTACGCAGATCAAGAGTTAGTAGAACTGTTCTAGTTTTTCCACTTGAGCTGTTGTAGCAGAACATTTTCGGTCTATTACATAAAACATTGCAGCAGCATACCGTTTTTCTTCTGCTAAGTTCCTCCTCCTGTTGTATCGGTGCATGCAAATACTACTTACATATATTGAAGTTTGAAATTATCTCATACTAACGACTGCTTTTATCAAGTATTACTTTAGGTACAGATACTGCTGAAGTTTCTTTTAATCTTGCCTACCATATTATGTTAAGATGACTGTAGGTTTTATCCCTCGGGGTGATCAAAAAGTACCTTCTTCTTCCCAGGATGAAAGAAGATTGAAGGAGCTCTGCTATCTTAAAGCTTTGCTTCTGTCTTTCTCCTCAATATATTCAGGTGGAGAGATTTGTTTCTTCCTTACCCTTGACATACTTGGAGAGCAGCCATTCTTCCTTTTCTATGGCTGACTCCTAAATGGGTCTGCTGGTGTTCCATCTCCACTGCTTACTTTCATACATCTTTCAAAGTCTTTTCCAGCCAGGAACTCTGGAGTATAACTTATTTGCAAATTAAAATAGTTGCTTATAGAAGGTGTTTCTAGTTTTGTTTCTTGGGGTGAAGGTAGCTTGCCTTTTGTTTTCCTCACTTGACCTAGCTGACCTGGGAGAAATGGTCAAAGGTACAAAGCTAGAACCTGAAACTTGCTTCTGGGTGTCACAGGAGGAGCCACCCCTCATGTTGTGCCCCTTGCAGATTGTTTAGCTGCAGTAGCCGTGCTTCATCTGCAAGGAAAAAAAAGAAGCATAAGCTAGTAGTGTAAGTAACCTGTCATAGCTGACCTCCCAACTGGGAATAGAAGTTAGCATTCTTGATAATCTCGGTGCCCTGTCATAGATTGTTTTACACCTTAGATGTGCAAGAACAAGATTTTTAACTTGCAAGCAGTCTTGTTTGTATTTTATGAAATCAAACATTCACTTTTTTTTTCTCCCCTAAGTCACCATGATTATTTTTGACTCATTTGGGGAGAATTGGAACACATCTAAGCTCAGTAGTATACCTACCATTTGTTTTTTTCTTCTTTCTTCCCATGGTGTTTTGATATGGTTAATTCTTTTGGCAAATTTTTTGTGTGTACAATGTTGCCCATGCTGAAGAATTTTAAATATCAATTTTGTTCCATGACCATTCACTAGAACAGCAAAATGATATTTGCTTACTTAGTATACTTTTTATGCTGAGATTTTAAAAAAACATATTTGCTCATTTCAGAAGAGAATTGGAAAAAATAGCTAGTTACTGTTTGCTGTAATCTGTAAGTGCGGAATTTGACAAACAGACTAAAAGACATGCAGATTTTTTTGATGTGTAGCTCTTTCTTTTATTTTGCACTTAAGGCTACTGAAACTTCAGAAGCAGGCCTCCAGTCCAAACTGAAACAGCTGGCTCGACAAGCACTGGATAGGTAAGTATTGCTAATGTTAGTAAATGTACTTGCTGTCAGGAATAAGTGTACTCTCTGAGGTGGATTCTCAGTCTAGCATGTCTATTCTGTACTGCGGAGTATGGATTTTGGGTTGACCTAGCTCCTGTAGAGTTCTCCTGGCAGTTGGCTGCCAGCTGCTATACCACTAAATATAGTAGCTGTTGTGCCAACCCTCTGGGAATATTGGGACATGCTGAATCAGGAAAAGACTGTGTATTCGTTAGTACCAATGCACTACTTCAGTCTTCAAAGATATAAATCGGAGTACTGTACTACAATTTTTGGCTTCTATAAAAATGCTGAATTCAGGCCAGCACTAAGTCAAGGTATCAGCATCCTTTCATAAGGAAGACAGATTGAAAACTGGGAAATACTTATCTTGACGGTAGCAATCTGATTGTATGGGTAAATCTAATGGAATGGAGTCTACATCTGAAACAAGTTATACAAGTGTAAGTTCAATGTAACTCTTTAAATCAGCTGTATGATGGCAAATAACGGACTATGTTGGGCTAAATTTCAGTATAAGCTGGTTTTCAGCACTTCCCAGTCTGTGTTCAAAAAAAAAAACCTCTGTTTTGCATATATGTGACTATATGGCAGCTTAATGGAACAACAAGAAAATATGGCTCCTGAATACACAGTCTTCAAGCAGTTGAAATGCTGGGTTGTGAGAATGCTAGTGGGTTTTTACTGCTATTGTAGGTGCTAGACAAATTAAATCCTGAAGGTATAAGAGGACACAAATCAATTTTCTTTCTGTGTTTCAGTGGTCTTGTTCTGAGATTCCAGATAATGAACACTTACACAAGTTCTCCTATTAGCATAATTTTAAGGCAACAAAAAAAATCTAATGTGTTCTGCCAGAAATAGCTTATCTATGAGTTGGAAATGCTATGTTTTAATTGATTCTAGAACAGGAAAATAAAGAAGTAGCAGCATCAGAAATTAATTTTTCTTGGGAAAAGTGGTGTTGGTCAACTTGGGCATTTGTTCATTCCATTTAACATATTTAACATGAACCAAACGCATCAATAGTTGAACCATAACTATATTTTTATCATTGTTGTAGACAAAATGCATTTTTGTTTGCTTTAGAGCAGAGGCATTGAAGGAATCTGTCTCGAAGTCGTCTCAGAAGAAGTCAACTGCACCTAAGCCAAATCAGCCAGTCAGAACATTCTTCCCATTGGGACCTGATTTTTCTTTAAATGATAAACCACAGACAATCAGAGCAGTACAAGCTAGTGAATCTCAAGGTCAGAGATACACTGCAGAGGAGATTGAAGTACTCAGGTAAGTTGAAGACAAGTTTTTCCAAAATGTTATAATTTGTGCTCACATCTTGCACAGTAGGAACAGCTGAAGCATGAGGTATATAAACAGAGGATTGGAAAACCACCTCTTACAAACCCTATTGCTGGTATTGCCTACACATTAATAAATTCTTGTATCCTCTACGGTAATGTAATTAGTGGCTTTTATTCAGAGTATACCTTCTAGTTAGTATTTAGAAGACAATTGCTTGTAATTGACTGCCAGGATTATTTTTTCATAGCCGTATTTTTATATGTTATATATAACCTACTGGACTGAGTTCATGAAAGATCTGTCTCTGAGAAGCCAAGGTACAAAGATGTTTTTATAGATTATACAACTACTACTTCACTGGAAATTGAGGAAGCATAGTATTTTGTAGGACTATGACTTCCTTTTGCTTCGATTTTTTATTATAGGTGGAACAAGCTACAAATAATCCATAAAACCTTTAGCCTAACTTGTGAATCTTGAAAACTATCAAACATATCTTAAAAAAAAAAAAGCATTGTCTGATAGGTATTTCAACCTTCTGACTCCTCCCCATGCAATAAAAAAGATCATGATGATGTGAGATGATGCTCAACACTATCCAGGATTTGATCATAAAACATTTAGTCCGCTAGTTGACTTTAGGAGACTTAAATGGACTGAGGGTATGGTCATGGAAGATAGAAACGTATACATGTGTTGGAAATGTTGCAGGGCATTAGGTATTGTCTTTTTAAAATTTAACTTTTTTTTTCTTTTCCTCTTGTAGTGCCTCTGCAGTGAATGTTTCTAGTTTTGTGGATGGTTTGGGTGTGTTTTGTTTTGTTGTTGTTGTTTCAGTCTTGGAAGAGAATTTCTAGTTGTTTCGCATCTTTAATCATAATTTGTTTTAAAAATGTTTTGCATACCTTTTTCAGTTTTCTTGTTTGAAATTGAAATTGCATTTGCATTTAAATGACTTTTTTTTTTTTTAGAAAATGTTCTGTGTGCTTTAGTCAAAAATGTACTAATAAACATGTGAAGTATTTTTGTTATTGTTTGACAAAGTGTTACAAAATACTGCCCCAATTAGATGAAAGCTAACTGTTACTAATTGTTAATTGCTGTCAACTTATCCTGAGATGCTCCTTAATGAGAGGTTTAAATGATGTGAGAAATCCTATTTAGACAAATGTAGTTTTAAATGTGACTTTTAGAACTATGAAGAGGTTTGTGGCTGATAGTCATTTCTGTATTGGCATGGTGACTTGACCACAGGTATGTGCTTGCAGGATTAGTGACTGAGCCATCAAGTATTGCACATTTCAAACCCAAATAAATACAGTGGTGGTTTCCTTTTCAAGAGTTGTCTTGTTTTCAGAAGCACTGTGTCTTGTTAGTTTTTTAAAAACTAATTTTCTTACCACCTTCTGGAACTTAGTCTTTGAAAGGTGATAGACAGGTTTGTAACTGGTTTTTTTTATGACTTGCAGGAAGACTTCAAAAATTAATGGCATTGAATATGTACCTTTCATGAGTGTTGATCTGAGGGAACGTTTTGCCTTCCCTATGCCATTTTCGTAAGTGTGATTCAATTACTGAACTTTACTTATGTTTTTCTTTCCAAAGCTTTCCCATATTTGGTATTTCTGTGTTGTCTTTTGCAGAGTGTAAAATTGTTGAAGTAGGCTTTTAAGCATAATGCAGGCAGAGGTAGTTAAATACTACCACTTCCTTCTTCCAGTCTGATCTTAAAACTTCAACGTAAGCTGCTCCTGCTCTGCAGTACTTTTGCGGTTGTGCCTTCAGGCCTATAAAGACAATGTTATATTTGGCTTATTAGAGTATTGTGCTGGGCTGGCAACTTGGGTCCATTTCCTGATTCTGCTTCATGCTAATGAGTTTAGCTCCCTCTGCCTCAGTTACCTGTAAAATGAAGGTGATAGCTGTTTCCTCTGTAAAGGACTATTCTGAGGAAGAGTGATACATAACTGCTAGACGTTCATTCATGAGCAATAATAATATGTTACATAGCCATAATAGACAAAGACGCTTGAGATTGATGGGTTGTTTTTCAATTTTATGCTAAAGGCTTGTCAACCAGACAAGCCTCATAGTTCTGAAAAACAAAAGAAACTTTTTATTATTAGTTCATCATATTGAAATAAAGTGAAGAATTTGAGTTTCTGCTGGTGTAGAAGGCTTTTTGGAATTCCCTTCTCCTGTTCAGTCCTGTGTGAAGGAAGCTCTTGGGTTTTATTTCATGTTTTTAATATTTTTTTCTTTTTTTCCCTAAAAACCACAAACTTAGCGGTACTGTTCTTTGAAATAGTTTTACAGCTCTATATGCAAAGCTGTGTAACTGTTCTGCACATATTTTGCACCATCTATCAGACATATATGACACTGGACATACCATGAAAAGCTTTTCTAAACTGCTATTGATTTATTTCTACTTTTTTTCTTTCACATCTAGTGATAAATGTGGGAAGTTACCATTATCCCCCAAACAGAAAGCAATGTTTGCCAAGTGGGTGCGACCAGATGACATAACAAATAACCCTACGATGATTTATACTGTATCAAGTTTCAGCATAAAGCAGGTAAATTGTTCCTAAAGAGAAATGTATGCTGCTAGCAGCTTATTGCAGGGAACCTTGTTCAAAAAGGGATCCCCAAATGTGCAAGTGCTTTCCTTGGTTCTCATGAGATTAAAAAGTATCACTTCAGATGCCATGCATTTTCTAGCCATGAGAACAAACAGGTGTATTAGCAGTGGAAGTGAAAATCAGAATTTGAATTCCAGCTGAAAATCCTATTTTCCAGAAATAGCAGTAAGATCAGTATGAAAAAAGGCAAGGTGTACTCTGCAGCAAATTGTTCACTTAACTTACTGCATGGAAAAAATGATGAGCAAGATCTTTAAATTTTTATTTGACAGGAAGCAGGGTGGCCCTTTGAGAATAGTGGAAATGTCCTGCATAGTCTTAAGTTGCAGGCTATTCTGAAATCAGCAATAGATTATGCCATTGGATACGGTTTATATTACACAGCGTGTTTTGAGGAGGAGGGAGTAAGCATGAGTGAATGCTGAGGTATCTTCACTTGCCTTTGTCATTAATAATTCTAACTCTGGTTTGCTCTGTAGGGGCCTTGTGTTGAGCAAGCATACATTTCCTGCCTTTTTAGTAATAACTTTGCTTCTCTTGGTTTAAATCTTTCCCTTTTGAAGGGAATTACTAACTGTTGATTTTCCTTCCCTCCATATACCCCCTCGGTCTTTCAGTATCTAAGTTATTAGTATGTAAGTTATGTCCTGACTCGTTCTCTTTTCATTACAGACAATAGTGTCAGATTGTTCTTTCGTGGCATCACTAGCTATCAGTGCAGCATATGAAAGAAGATATAACAAAAAATTGATCACAAGGTAAGTGGCTGTTGCTTTCTAAGATCTTTTCAGGCTTAATACTACCAAGCTTTTGCAGTATGTTCTATGACAGTTGGACACAGTAAAAGCTAGCATTCGTTTCACCTTCATCTCCCTGGGACTCATGTGGCTTCAGCATTTCTGGGAGGGAAACCACCTATGTATGGATATGTATACAGACACTGAGGTCTAGCTTCAGATACGCTTTGAGGAATAATGAACAGTATGGAAGGTTTTGTTTGATTTTTAATAGAAATTTTACTTATAATGCTTTATAGGTTTATTTTCCTACTTTGCTATGCCAACTGCTGTGCAACAGGTGGTCCATCTTGCATCTCATTGTAGAATTAATGTTAACAACACTATCTTGTTCCACTTGACTGGTGTCCTGTGATAAATTTGGCACAGGTTTGGCAAACTCTGCCAGGAGCCCATTACCAGACCACACTGGTCTGGATTTTTTTTGTTTTAAACTATGCTTGTTAAAACTGAACTTAAATTCTTTTCAAGAGCAGCGAGTTCTGCACTGTCTTTTCCTTCTTCAAATGTTTGACTTGTCATTCAAGCAAATACTCTATACTACAGATATGTAAATACCATTTGTTTAATAGTAAGATTAATTTGTTTACCTTGCTTTTGTTGGAAAAACAATTAGGTTACTTATGCTCTTTTTGTTACTGTATTAAGCAGAGAACTGCAGCAAGAGCAAGGCCTGGAAAATAAAATCTATTTAAACATCATTGTCATTTTTACTAAATTTGAGTTGCACTTTCATTAAAAATTCCATATTTATGTTCAGTGTAAATTCCAGAAACAGACTATGTTAACCCCACTTTTTATTATTATCACTGTATGTACAGACAAGTCCTTCATGTCACAATTTCATCCTTTTTTTTTTTTTTTTAAACAGTATAATTTACCCTCAGAATAAGAAAGGAGAACCAGAATATAATCCATGTGGCAAATACATGGTGAAGCTTCATATCAATGGTGTACCTAGAAAGGTAAATGGTTTTGGGGAAATTTAATACTGTTACTGGTTAAGTCATATATTTTAAAGGCTTGATCTACTTCACTGTGAAGCTATGCTTGCATAGCAAAAACTTCAGATACATTTTGTTGGAAAGTAGTTTTTAATTGTTAAGCCTTTTGAGATTTGTTTTGGTTGTGAAGTATGTAACAGAATATAAATATTTCTTCTACAGGTATTAATGAAAACAGCCTTTCTCCCATAAAATTAATTTAAAAAATCCTTAGATTGCTTAAAAGAATTATGAAAACCATACAGGAACAAAATTGTGCATCCCATATTTATGAATAGGGTGTGCAAGTAATCCACTTTTTCACTCCAACTTAGAAAGGAAGTTACAGAACTAAAAAGTACAGAGAGGGACAGCCAGGAAGAGTATAGACATAGAATGACCATAAAGGATTAACTCAAATGACCACAGATTTTTAGTAAGGAGAGGAGATGCTTGAAGATTTGTGATAGAACTCCATAAACTCACAACTAACTTCATTTTCTTTTCAGTGCAATAAGTAAAGGCATAAAATAGTGCATTTCTTCATATAATACTTAACTGTAGCACTGATTATTGCAGATCACAGTGACTGAATGTTTATAGGAGTTCAAAAGTTGAGTGGTCATATTCATGGGGTGAGGGGGTAAGGGGAAAGTCCTCACAGGTTATTAATTGCTAAGATATAACCTCTGGGTCAGGAAGTCCTTGAGTTGCAAAATTCCAGAATCTGAATGTTTCAGGGAAGTATCATTTATGTACTTGCCTGGTTCTTAATACTCTTTCCAAAATATCTCCTATGATTGCCTTTTGTTAGGATGAATGACCATTTGCTCTTCTATGAAAAGGATTATTCTTTCCTGCAGAGATAGGATTTGACCAGAAAATGTGCTATGTTAGTAGCCCGTATTGGTAACAGACTAATGCCAATGTGAAATGGAAACATTTCTGTTCTGGGAAGCTGTTTCAGACCACTACAAAGAGTGCAGTAACAATCTGTAATAGTGCCAAATATATTCTACCTAATTTAAAGAAGAAATGTTAATACTTTCACAACTGCTGCTTTGGGTTGTTTTTCCTTTCCAGAGAGAAGAAATCTAAATCTAGAACTAGAGACTATGAAAGTGATGTGACACATAGTTTGTTTCCTTATAGATAAATAACTGTTCATTTTTCTGCGGGCTACCAAGCACAGTCCATGCTCTGTTTCCTAATTAGGTGAGGAATATTGTTAGGCTTTTCTTTACTTTTTATGCTTGTAATTGCAGTGAACTTTTATGCAGCTAATCTTTCATAATAGATATTAGACACTTCACAAGAGCTTATTGTCATCATCCCCATTTTACATAAGGCAAGGCAGGTGAGCACAAGTCACCCAGTAGGCCAGTGCAAGTAAGAGCTGGCAATAAAATTTCTTGTTCACTTGGGCAAACCACTGCAGGACTGATAGAGGTGCCCACATGTGAGAAAGATGGTCAGGTCTGGCTGTGTCTAAGAAGCTGTATATTAATGACAGTTTGGTTTTGTTTTTTAAATACTTGCAAAATGCTTTCTTAGCATTATGGTGATTTTTCATTTGTTTATTTCACACAGGTAATCATAGATGACCAGTTACCTGTTGATCATAGCGGGGAACTTCTCTGTTCTTATTCTAACAATAAGAATGAATTATGGGTATCACTAATAGAAAAGGCTTACATGAAGGTTATGGGAGGATATGATTTTCCTGGATCAAATTCTGTAAGTACCTATAGATTATCTCTAAGAGGCAAAAATTCCCCATAGGTAATATTTGGTCAAATAATATTCCTTCTAGTGAAATCAAAGTGAATTGCTTGGGGAGGCAAGTATTGGGTTTGATGTTTTCTTAAATTTTTTTCTCTTTCTTTCACAAATACGCTTAGCTGTACTTAATGAGATTTATTCTATCAAAATAGAATGAGCAAGACATCTTGATGGGCAGAGTTAATCTTAGTTCTCTAATGGCAGGATTGGCATTTATGGTTGGGAAATACATGTGTTTAGAGTCAAGACGAGAGTGTTGGGTGAAGTCATAAAATTTTCTTCTATATCAATACTGCTGATTTTGGTTTCTAACTATCATTCAAGATGTTCTCATTAAAGGAACAGGCTAGTCATTAGTACATGTATATAGTTGGAGCAAGTACTTTGATCTGTGCAAGTTTGTTTATCAGGTTGTTCCACTCATTTACATGAATAGGTATCTGGTTCCTATAATGTGGTTACTAAAGAAACAGTCATCGTACTGCAGCTAAACATGCAAATTACTCTTTCAAAGAGGGGCGGTTTACTGAAATAAGTAGCCCACATAACCTTCATTCATTACTTAGGAAGCATTTCTGATTTTAATTTAAAATTCTTTAAAATTTTAACAGGTTTTGTTGTTTGTTGGGGTTTGTTTTTTATTTCATGGTGGTGTTCACGTTCTAGTTGGTGTCTTGATAATCGCCTTCTTGGAGGGTATACTAAGTAATCATCACCTTTTGAAAAATGATTATGGAGACAAATGTGGTTTTGTATCAGGAGTAAATGTAGCGTATGTTTTTATTGGGCTGCTTTTTTTTTTGGAGGACAGAAGCTGGTGTGAATAGCTGAGTGTTATTCCTATTGTCGTCTTCTAACTTGCTATGTGGAAAAACAGCTTGACTTGTGACATTTAATCTCCACCCTTCCCGCCCCTCTGCTTTTGACTGTGTTACACCTTCCTTCTATCATCAGGATTACTTACTGACTCTGTTGTACTTTGTAATTCCTCAAGTTCCCACCCACCAGTGCTGGTTATTGACACTTCAAGCATTTATAGTCTCTGCTTTTGCTTTGGGGACTACAAAGCAAAAGAAGAGAGAATATTTCAAGGAGATGAAATGGGGAGATAAAAGTGTCTTTTTATGGAAATACATGTCACTGTCAGCTTTACCAAAAGAATTAAAAACCCCAAACCCTGAGCCTTAGAAGTAAAATTTAAATTATTTAAAATGCATATATAATAGCAAGGTTTCAAATAGTGCTTCTGAGACTGTGCTTTAAAAGTCTGTGATTCAACAAAATAAATAGAACACATCATAGAATTGAGCACAGTTGATCATTCTCATATGTTTCCATTGCTCTGAAATTCCAGTTTGTTTCATCAGTTCACTTTCCAGCTTGTTTTTTTGGGTGTGGTTTTTTTTTTGAGAGGCTATTTGGAAATTACGTCCTAAACTAATCAAGGAAGTTTTTGTTTGTTTTTGATATAGTCTTAATCTTGAGCCTTTTATGTATAGAACTATACTGTAACTTGTGTATACTTGATTTCTTTCAAGGCACTTTTATATTTGTGTACAGACATCATATGCATATAGATGGATTATCTATTCTGATTTCTTTCAAATGCTTGCATTTCAGAATATTGATCTCCATGCACTGACTGGTTGGATACCTGAAAGGATCGCTATGCACTCTGACAATCAAGCTTTCAATAAAGATAGTACTTTCAGAATGCTTCATCAGAGGTAGAAGTTTGTTCTTTCCTAAGTGATTTAAACGCTTGCTGTGTAGAAGCTGCATTACCACTGTAAAAGCAGTACAGTCACCACAGATCCTTCAATAGCATTTTGGTACCACTACAAATTGTGCTTTATAAAACCTCCATATGCTTTCTGGAAGAAGAAAAATTGAGGTGTTGGTGGCTTTGATAGAACAGGAAAGTAAAATATTGTAGAATTTTGTTTGAGGTGATTTTTCTTCACATGTGAAAACAAAATAGTAGCCCATTTCTTTATGAAGAAAATAGACTATAGAGTCAGAGAAGAGCATCTTGGAACCAATATACAAGTTAAAAGTGTTTAAAAGGTAGAAGGAAATGTGTTCTGTGTTCCCACACAGTTCCCCAGAACTTTGTCATTGATCCGCTGTCCTTAGTGAGCAGATGTAATCTAGTATTTCTAATTGTGTCACAAGAACTTGGTTATTATGCCGCCTTACTAAGTCTGGAGGAGCAGCAAAAGTCTATCAAAACTGCAGTATTGATCTTCAGACCTACCATAACAATTCTACTTATGATGAAAGATATAGCTGTAACATATAAATTACAGCTGGCAAGTACTTTGAGCTCTTTCAAAAGTCTTTTGTGCAACCAGTTTCTTATGTATTTCAATGCAGCAGAAGGGGGATATTCTGTTGACTGAAACATCTGCATTCATGATAGAAGAGTGTGATTCTTTTTCTAGAGTACTTTTTCAGTAGGTTAGGAGTTTGGTTGTCAACAACTTTTCAGATATTCTGGCATTGCAATTTGGAGGTGTGACTGCAGTTAGGATGGGATCTAGCCATTATAGCATCACTGTTGTTCACCTATGCTAGACTGAAAATGTGTTGATCCATAGTCCAGTGACCCTGTAAGCTGTCTAGGGATGCTGAGTATGTACTTGGTTTTTAGCATGGGCTGGGGAACATGCTAGTATGTCTTCCCAACAATAATTGTTGTGAAATTAACTGCAGTTGTTGTGAGTTGACAATTCATACCCGCTTGACAATTCAGACCCTGTAAGGCCTATGCTGGGGGACACAAAACTTTAGTGTAAACAGCTGCAAAAGTATAGAAGCATGAACTTCTCATTCTTCAGGTTTTGGGAAGTTTCTACAGAATCCTGGGAGTGTGACAGACTTCTTAATTTGCTATATGCAGTGATTGGCTAAATGTTGATGAAACCACGTTTGTGTTCAGATGAAGATCTGTGAAGAGTATCTTTAATAAGTGACACAGATTAAACTTCAGGTTGATAAATGCTGATTTTTACTTTATAATGAAAATAATAATTTTTTACTTAAAGCCTATACTTAAATACCAAAAGAAAATAGCTCCATTTTCTCAAGTTTTTTTGAGAGTGATTTCTGCTTACAAAAAAACCCCTGTATTCCAATTTTATAAAGCAGGGTCATGCTAATGGGCAGCGTGAAAACATACTATTACAGTGACTGGCAAATGTTAGTTTGCAACTTGCAAAATTTGAATTAAGGTTGAATTTGGGTTGATGATTGGACTGATGATCTTGGAGGTCTTTTCAAACCTTAATGATTCTACGATTCTAAGCTATTTTTCACCTCTTTTTGAACAGATTTCACAAGGGAGATGTCCTTATCACAACAGCAACAGGGGTGATGTCTGAAGAGGAAGGAGAAAAATGGGGTTTAGTTCCAACCCATGCATATGCAGTCTTGGACATAAGAGAATATAAGGTATCAAGTAAAACTGAAGATGTTTTCAGATGCCTGTTTGAAACCTGTGTCTGCAATGGGTAGCTACTGATTTTTTTGCTCTAATGGTTTATGTAACTGGGAAATTCCAGAAAACTTAATGATGCTGTATTTTCTTGAGCTATTCGTCAATATTCTGTATTAATTTAAATATAAAAGTTACCTTGACAAGATATGTTATTTTGTAAACTATTGTCAGCAATTTTATTTTATATTTCTGTAGGGACTTCGATTTCTTCAGTTGAAAAATCCCTGGAGCCACTTACGATGGAAGGGACGATACAGTGAAAATGACAGAAGAAATTGGACCCCAGATTTACAAAAATACTTGAACTTTGATCCCAAAACAGCTCAGAAAATAGACAATGGTAATTAGGTTTAAATTATCTTTTCAGATAATGTAATCTTTGTGGTGTATCCCTGCAGGAAGGCAGAAGGAAATGCTTAAGCACAAGGAGGGGGGGCATAAAACAAACACTAGAAACTAAACAGCCCAAAAGTTTAGGATGTATTTGTGTATTTAAAACTGTCATTTCGGGTTTGTCTGGGGTTTGAGTAATTTGGACTGTTAATATATCTCAAATTCATTGACAAGAAGTTATCTCTTTTCATAAGTGTTGCTATCAGCATCTGGGTGTGGGGGCAGTTCAGTGCAAACATAACATTCTGACAATAAGCTGTGTAATGCTGCTTTTTAATATGTGAATAGACGTTTTGTGGGTTTTTTCCTCCAACACTTGCAAATATGTATCAACATGCTTACTGTAATCAGTATTTATATTTGTCTTGCCTGTATTTGAGGTTATACACTGGAGGTATTGTGGGGGTTTTTTTCCCCTTGTATTACATTAATATGTCTGTAAACAAATCTTTATATACATTCTATTTCCAGCTGTAAGAGTAGATTGAGATCCATCTTTGACACAGTGGCACTACTATGTCGCTGTCCAGAGAAGCATGGAATGATGCTCTGTGTTGTCCTGTCCCATCTTCCCTAGGGAACAGCAGAGTGTAGCATCTGGAAAGTCGATGTGGGTTTGCTGGTGGGAAGGCAGGCTGCTGACAGTTTAGAAATTCTGCAGAAGCTGTGTTTTATGTTCAGAAAGAGATGTCTGCTCTTTTTATAGTGTCCTACTTGCTGTGTGTTTACCTTTTGTTCAGTGCCACTTTATTTTCATGACAGTAGGCATCCAAAACCATTAAATTATAACATTTAATGATGAGCCTCATGCAAATGTGTAAGAAACACTTTTGATTTAAACATAAGACTATCAGCCCTGGCTTTGACAGTTATGAGAGACTAGCTCACTTATTTACTGAGGCATTCAGTAAGGAATTTATATCTGTAACATCTCGTAATTAAAATTTATATAAAATAACATTAACAATTTTAAGGGAGTTGTTTCTTCTGACTGGATTTACATTCTGGTGGTCTTGTCTAAATGTGTAGCTATTCTGACTGTGTTGGGTTTTTTTAGTCCTGCAAGATCTGCAATTGCCTATGTCAGAGGCTTGAGTTATAAGGTTGTTACCTTTTTGAGAGTTCATTTCATCAGGAATCTGTTGGCTTGCAGGCGTTTTTCTTGGTTTAACTTGTTTGCTTTGGGGGTTAAGATTAAATTTGGAAATCTGGGCAATGCAGATGTTACTACTAAGTTTTACAGAAATGTCTGTTTATATAAGCGCCTGGAAAGAGACTTTTGAAAACCAAGTAAAATCAAGGTGTCTGGTAAGGAAACAGTGACAGCATTTCCTTTTTAGGTATTTTCTGGATTGCCTGGGAGGACCTGTGCCAGTACTATGATGTTATTTATTTGAGTTGGAATCCAAGTCTCTTTAAAGAATCTACATGTATTCACAGGTTGGTCCAAGAAAAAAAAACTTTGTGTCAATATCTGACTAAATGTTCTGATGTGGCGTTTCCTTCCTTCCATTCTTCCTAGTTAGAGCTGAAGAGATTGGAATCCAACTATGCTCCCTTAAGCCTGACTTTACACTTTTAAATTCTAAGCCCAGGCTTTGTTTTTTGACTTTCTATAGCATCGATGAAACTCCAGTGACCCTTTTGATGATGAGTGGACCTAAGGTTATGTAAGCAGATTCTGACCTCAGCCCCACATTTATCAGACTAGAAATCAGATTTTTGCACGGTCTGTATTTTGTTTAAGCAGTCGCCAGACAGTGCCTGAGTGACCTAGCTTTTACTTGGAATTCATTTTCCTGAACAGTTGCAAGTAATTTGTGCAGTGCATATTGTCTTTACAGGGTGTGTTTACCTAATTTGTTTTTTCACCAGTCATAGTTATCACAAATAATCTTCCTTGTCTGCTGATTTTTTTTTTTCTGAACATGATACCTATCTCCTACCTAGTATCCACCACATTCTGTCTTTTTGTCATACAGCTTGAGGATAAGTGTGTCCCAGTTTCTGAAAGCAAGGGTTTCTCTCTTTTTCCCGCTCCACCATACTGCACTTTGCCACTGCTTCCACACTGTTTCTGTGTACATCAGCTCTGCACAACCTCCTTCATCCATAGTACAACTGCTGAGTTTTCTTTGTAAAGACTCCTTCCATCTTTTTGATAAAATTAATTCTAAAATACACAGGGGTCATGTAACAAGATGAGGTAATGTATATGCTCATCTACTAGTCTGTCTTTATATTATTAGTGATCATTG